TCAAGCTGCAATCTTTAGATCTGAGCCTCCTGAGTAGCTAGGATTACCAGCGTATATTATGCAGAAAACAACTTTGCAGATTCTCAACTTCACCATAAGATTCCTGTAATTGTAGTTCTCTTCCCCATATTACATGATATTGAAGGGAGTAATAGAAATGATAACCAGGAAATCAAAGATAAGACCACATCCTATCTAATTACAAGTATTGATTTGGTCTTCATATCATCTCTCTGCAAGATATTTCTGAAGCTTGATATGCCATAGTTTAATTGTAAACCACTAATGAATGAACATAAATATGTCTATATAAATAGGTCCTAGACAGGAGACAACAGACATTTTGGCAGTTTTTATTGAATATCTGTACAATTGCTTATCAAGAACATGAAACTAATTTAGAAACCATTGATTGCATCTTCATGAGTCTAGTAAAAAAGAAATTATTAGTTACTTTCTCTAATGCAGGATGATTAGACAATCTGGACCATTCTTTGTAGTTACAAAATTAATGATTTTGTGACATTATGTTTATTTATTTGTTTATTTTTTATAGGCATGGGGCTTGAACTCAGGGCCTGGACACTGTCTCTGAGCTCTTCCACTCAAGGCTAACACTCTATCCCTTTCAACCAAGCTCCACTTCTGTTTTTCTGGTGGTTAATTGGAAATAAGAGTCTCCTGGACTTTCCTGCCCAGGCTGCTTTGATCCATGATTCTCAGATCTCATCCTCTGAAGTAACTAAGATCACCTGTGTGGGCCATCAGGACCCAGCTATTATATTTGATTATCAACATTTTTTGCTTTAAACTATGCTCCAGGGCCTAGAGCTCTAACCATTTAATCAGCAGGATGGGCTTTGATAGATACCTTTTTCTTATTTGCTGCATAACATTTTTAATTTAATGGAGCATTTTGAGTTTTATTTCCTCCTTTTAAAAATGTAAGCTTTCTCTGAAGTACCAATTTCTTCCATTCTTCATTTGGAAAATGCATTTATGGGGAAAATATTTTATTCTAAACACTACAGAAGACTGAAGAACAAACACGGCCCAAAGAGCATCATGTGTTTGTTGGTCCATGACCCAGATTGTCCTTAGCTGTCCCCAATTGGCAACTTTCTTTCCAAGGCCTGTTTTTCTCCAGTGGACTCCATGGTGGGTGCACAGAGCTATCTGTTGAGTATAGGAACATTAAAAATACTATTCTGACTTAGTTTTTCATCCTCTTTCTGATATCTTTATTCTGATGGTTTCAAACTTATAGAAAAGTTGCTGAAGTAGTATTATAATCTCATAGGTCCTTCCACAATTTATTAATTACTTAACACTTCTCTACTTGTGTTTCATTCTTCCTCAAAAAACTGCTGGGGTGCCAGTAGCTCACGCCTTTAATCCTAGTTACTCAGGAGGCTGAGATCTGAGGATCATGATTCAAAGCCAGCCCAGGCAGAAAAGGCCGGGAGACTCTTATCTCCAGTAAACCACTCAAAAAATCAGAAGTGGCACTGTGGCTCAAGTAGTAGAGTGCTAGCCTTGAGCTAACGAGCTGAGGGACAGCACCCAGGCCTAGAGTTCAAGCCCCATGATAGACAAAAAACAAACAAAAAACCAACCAAACAAAAATAACTGCTGGGGTTTGTTTGGCACACACAAACACACATATGTAGATAGATGATGCAAATACATGTATAGACATAAATATGCACACACCATCATGACCTGTGCCCTAAATGCTTTTTAAAAATATAATTTAATATCATTTCCTAAATGCTTTAGCGAATGTTTGCTAAGAACAAGGATGTTCTATCATTAAGATCAAGAAAGTTAAAAAAATTAAAATTGAGGAAGTTAGGTCCAATTCTACCATTGTCTAGATCATAGTTCATATTCAGATTGTATCTATTTTCTACTAATGTCCTTCAAAGGTATATTTTTTTCAGTCCAGAATTACACATTGCACCTAGGTGTCTCTTTGGTTTCTTTATGTATGGAACATTTCTTAACATTCGTTGAAGACAGCAGATATAGAGCCTCTCTCAATTCTGACAGCATGGTGTTGGTTGTGACTTAGATGTGGGTTACACAGAAACCATACAGAAGTCCTTCACAGTGCACACAATGTCTGTCTGTTGCAACAGTAGAGACACTCTCTAGGTTAGAGAGACTTTCTAGGTTCTCTTCTTTGCTAGTACTGGGGTTTGACTTTAGAGCCTTATACTTGCTAAGCAGTGCTCTACCACTTGAGCCATGCTTCCATCCCTTTCTTTGCTTTAGTTACAAAGGGCCTGGGATTTTGGCCTAAGGCCTCCTCCAGACTCCTGGGTACCTGAGGTAACAGGGCATACTACCATGCTCCAGCTCATTAGTTGGGACTGGTCTCTCTTTTTTCCCAGCCTGTCCTTAAAATGTGACCTGCTTTGTCTGTTTTCCATCTAGCTGGGATTATAAACATGAACTACTGCCCCCAACCCTGTCCATGCTTTTACATGTTTTGCAATTAATGAGAAATTTCCGAGAATACAGTTAACTTCTCATCAGACTTTTAACTACTAGTTTGAGAATCTGGTCTTCCCTCTTTTCTATATTTATGTATGCCTTATAGTGTGTATAAGACCAATATTATTTACAAGTGAATATGTATATGTGGAAATGGTTTAGGTTTGTGTTTAAAGTTTTTTTTTTTTAATGAATACTCTTTTTCTATTCAGTACTAACCCATACTGGCATATTTCAATTGGGTTTGTAGTTAGGATTCTCCCTTGCTCCTAGAAACCCTGATCATCTTCCTGAATACTACTATAGTGCTTTTCTTTCTTTTATTTTTGGTCTGTCACGGGCTTGAGCTTAGGGCCTGAGCACTGTCCCTTAGCTTATTTACTGAAGGCTACTATTCTACCACTTTGAGCCACAGCGCCACTTTTAGTTTTCTGGTGGTTAATTGGAGCTAAGAGACTCATGGACTTTTCTGCCCAGGCTGGCTTGGAACGCAGTCCTCAGATCTCAGCCTACTGAGTAGCTAAGATTACAGGCATCACCCAGTGACATTCGGCTTGTTCTTTTCTTTATGTTAAGTAATATCAGGTCGGTATCTGATTAGATCAAGAGATAGAAGAAGAAAAGTATTTAGACCTGAGGTCAACAGTAGTGATGAATGATTATAATGAAGACAATAGTTGCATGTCTTACAAGAGAGGCTAGGTTGTTAGTGCTTTAAACAAGTCTTTATCTCTATTCCCTGAGAATACACTCACAGAACCTCAAGGGCTTTTGAGGATGGAACAGAGGAGTCAAGCTGACCGAGGCTTGGGTCTGAAATTGGCATTAGTATGCCCCAGGCTTTGAATACAGCTGCCATACAACATGCTGTGTCTGCACTACTGTTTATCCAGGCCTTTTCACTGTTAGCTATGCATAGACATTGTCTTTAAAAATTGGTGTTCTCTGCTGGGGAGACTAGAGGATAATGATGAAAGGGGTAATATCAATTGATTGAGATGCATTGTACTTATAGACTTATAGATTGAATGTTAATTCATTTGTGCAACTACTTAAAGATAATAAAAATTAACATCCTCTATGGCGTAAGATTTTGAAATTGTGGATTTGATGCATTGGTGTGACTTAAATGAATTTTTTCTTAGGAACTAATACAATTTTCCAATGTGAACATCAGCATTACAGAGCTTTTCCTTTAGGAAACTCATGTAGAAGGCTGGCCACCTTCAACAAATAAGTTGAGTGTGGTGGCTTACTCTTATAATCCTGGCCAAACAGGAGGCATAAGTAGGAAGATTGTGATCCATGGCCCGATCAAGCAAAAGTATGAGAGAACATATCTGAAACATAAATAAAACTAAAAATGTGGAAGGAAGCGTGGCTCAAGTGGTAGAGCACTTGCCTAGCAACCCTGAAGCCTTGAGTTCAAGCCCTGGTTTCAAAGAAAAAAGCAAAGAAACTTATGCAGAAAACTATATATCTAAGCACTGGGCTTTGCCTCATCGAGAAGAAAGAAATGTGAAATAAAGAATTAATTTAGGTCATTCTGCACCTAGAATAACCTGGTGTCCTTTGGGTTATCAGGTTCATGGACTATGTTTGCTCCTTGTTAGGCTTATAGAAGTCTGCATCAATGACTCATTCACAAAGATTGCTGAGAACTGAGTTTAAGTCCCCTCAGTCTTCTTTCCTAATACTACACTGCATTTGGCACCCAGCGTAAGTGCACCACCTTGTTAACTAGAGCTGCATGACAGAGGCCCTTCCCCTCCCTGAGCCTGCATCCATGCATTCAACCAACCATGGGCCCCATGCTTACAGTTAGGGTGTGCTCTCAGTTTTTGATCATTTTCTAAACTACATAGTACAGCAGCTATTTACATAGCAAATACTTAGTATTCAGCATTGGAAGTGCTTTGGAGATGACTTAATGTAGGCAAGATGTGTGTGGTTATATGCAGATAAGTATTGGGGTTGGATGTGGAGATTCTACAACAAATCCCTGATGGATATCAATGGCGATTGTGTACAGGCAGGATAAATAAATAATATCTTCAAGAGAAGATTTTTTTTAAGGGCAAATGGACTTCCCTGAGCTCAGATGTATCTGACTCAGAGGAATCAAAGGAAGGTAATTCAGTAACAGGTGAACTAATTATTTTTCCTACAAGACAATATAATGACATAACTCATTCACTATCCTAAACTGTGTATTCTTGTTTTTGAAATGATTTATAACTTTTAAGTACTTGCTATACTCCTGTTTGGGAGTTATAGGATATTCTGTGTATGTTTAGTGTTTAGGGAATGCAATAAGAAAGTAAAGGGACCTAAACACTTGTGAAGTTGGAGAAATAAAAGCATGCCATTGGTAGGTAGAACATGGAATGGGTAAAAACATTTTTAAAGAAAGCAAAATGAAATCTTCCATTTCTATTGTGCTATTATGGGATCATCTGATTCACTCGAGTTGAATTCTGTGCCCTTTCCTGCATTTTCAGAAAGGAGCTCATCGCCAAGCTGGACCAGGCAGAAAGAGAGAAGGTGGATGCTGCCCAACTGGTTCAGGAATTTGAGGCTCTGACGGAGGAGAACCGGACACTGAAGTTGGCCCAGTCACAATGTGTGGAACAGCTGGAAAAACTTAGAATACAGTATCAGAAGAGGCAGGGCTCATCCTAACTTGAAATGATTAAATGTAAGTGTAAGACAGTGGTGATTGCTATATACTGGCTGAAAGAATTTATTTTAAAGGGATGGCCAGTAAAACCTATTGTTTCTCATTATTACCCACATAGCAAATGTCTATAATATATGTAATCTTCTTTAGGAACATGTGATCACAATATACATTAGGGTGGAGAATGATAAAAATAAAGTATCGATTGACCCCCTCTAAGAATCATGAGCCATGAAACAAACCAGTGAGATTCTCATTGTAGCTGCACATCTGTGCACGGATAAACTTCATGCCTTTGACATTTCAAGTCTGCTCAAATATAAACCGTTGCTATTTCTCTGCATGTATTTATGTTCACTAGAGTCACATGTAAGCCTTCCATGATTGATTGTCCTAAGAATAAATGGTTGAAGACTATAAAAGCTTTCTCACGAAAATATTAGCAAGAAATCATGCTTGTGCCAAAATTTCATTCTCCCGTGCTGACTTTCTGTTGCAATAAAGACACAGAAAACTCTGCAGTTTCTTTACTCCATGTTAACACATGGTGAAAATCTCTAGCTTTGTCCTGTGTGTATTTGGGATATGGGGGAAATGGAAGGGTATAGTGTTTGACATTATTTGGTGAGTTCCCGTGCAACAGAAGTGAAATTAGAAGATTACTTTGTATTGGATTTAAGGATGTTGGATCAGGAATCTAATAAGAGTAAATTCAGAACAAACATATATATATATCCTCGTTCTAGTTATCACCACCATTTTGGTCTCTCATCCAAATTGGTTTCTTTGTTATATGTCCATTTCTATTCATGTAACTTCTTTTTCATTAAACATGGATTAAAACTGCCTATTTGTAACTTGCTCCTTTTTAACCCTTACGATGGTGGAAGTTGGGACTGCCTACCCTTGTTTAGGGTTTGTTTGCTGTATATGCTAAATAAATTTTATAAAAGCCCCTTTTCTTGGCAAGAGTATGAGCTGGGTGCAGTGGCTCATACCTGTAATTCTAGCCTCCTAATCAGGAAGCTGAAATCTGAGGATCGCAGCTCAGAACCAGCAAGGGCAGGAAAGTTCATGAGACTCTCATGGAGAGTTAACCACCAAAAAGCTGGAAGTAGAGCTGTGACTCAAGTGGTAAAGTGCTGGTTTTGAGCAAAAAAGCTCAGAGACAGTGCCCAGGCCCTGAATTCTAACCCCAGAACTCTCTCACACACACAGACACAACAACAAACCCAAAACTCAAAACCCAAAATGTATGGCTTCTCATATGGAGCTGTAATAAGGATTATGATATATTTGTGCCTTGAGCTATTTGTCCACAAGCATAAAAAATAGTTCGTTAAAATAATAGGATGGATAGGCGCTGGTGGCTCACACTTATAATCCTAGCTACCAGGAGGCTGAGATCTAAGGCCATCCCTCACAGAGATTCTTACCTCCAATAAACTGCTCAGAAAAAAAACAGAAGTGGCAATGTGGCTCAGGTGGTAGAGTTCTAGCCTTGAGCAAAGGAAATTTAGGGACAGTGTCCAGGCCCTGAATTCAAGCCCCAGGAGGACGAGGAGGAGGCAAAGGAGGAGGAGGAAGAAGAGGAGGAAGAGGAAGAGGAAGAGGAGCAGTAGGAAGAGGAGGAGGAGGAGAAGAAGAAGAAGAAAAAGAAGAAGAGGAGGAGGAGGAGGAAGAGGAAGGGGAAGAAGAAGGAAGAAGAGGAGGAGGAGGAGGAAGATCTAAGAGAGATTAATGGGTCTCAACTGGGAGTGCTCTTGTCCCCAGAGGGCAATGTCTTTGGTTGTCACCAGGCCAGGATGAGGGTGAGAGATGCTGCTGGCATCTGGAGGGTACATACTGAGAGTGCGGCTCACATCCTACAGGGCAAAGGACAGTCTCCCCTAACGGACCAGCAGCTCAGTGGCTTGAAGTTCGATGCTCCCTGGGGCATCACTGGGAAGTGAAGGCTTACCACGGAAACACACCGCAGCGTCATGGGCTTCTTGCTATGGCAGAGTCTGTGAGGTTCTTCAGGCATCTCGAGTCTTTGTTTCCCATTTGTAAAAATGAAGTTTTCTGAAAATCCCAAAATTTCAGTGTTGGGAAAACCTATTAAAGAGGTTTCATGTTTGGCCAAAAGTAAAAAAGTCCCTGGGAAGTTGGCTGAACCTTTTCCCCCAGTTACTCGGAAGCTTATAAATACTAATATAAAGGAGATGTTGCTCAATAATGTGTACAATTCCAGGGTTAATGGAAAAGCAGGGAAAAGAGTGACTTACTAACCTTTAAGTAAAAGAATTCAGCTTTGGTTACTGCACATTCTAGGATTTAAGTACTCATGGCCCTTTATAGAACCTGGCGACAGGAACAGAGCTCTGAAATCTTTGGGCAAAATGAAAATAGCTGAACAGATGAAAATGTTTCAACAGCGTGGTGCTATGCCACAGAGTCACTGAGTGAATCATTTTCATATCTTTACTCATCCTGAATTTTTCTGTGTTTCCAAAATATTCACATTCCTCACTCAAAAGCAAGCATTTCCCTGAATACAAGTATTTTTAAGCAGAATTTTATTCACCAAAACATACCAACAGCATGCGATTTATGGTAAGTCAGGGAAAATGATGGGTAGATTTTTTTTTTACCTTATTAGTTCAACATTTTTCCTAATTGTATTTACCACTACACATGGTCTCTATAACACATATCATTGAGAATTTATTATCTTCAGGGCCAAGAGTATAGTTCAGTGGTATAGTACTTGCCTAACTTGCACGAGACACTGGGTTTGATCCCCAATGGGACACACACATGCATGTGCACATGTGTGTGGGCACACACACATGCACACACACACATGAATTTTCCATCTTTAAATATATTTATAAAATTCCCACTATTACCAATAATGTAAGGCTATACAGAAGAAAAGCGCAGATATCCTTCTGGTATTAGTATGAAGGTGTTTGCTTTTAAGCTAGAAAACAAGCAAATGTAGCTCATGTTACAGTCTGTGATTGTTCTTCAGTTGTGGGGCCTGAACTCTGGGCCTGGGCGCTGTCCCTCAGCTCTTCAGCTCAAGGCTAGCACTCTACCATTTGAGCTACAGTACCACTTCTGGCTTTTTCTGCTTATGGGGTGCTGAGGAATCAAACCCAGGGACTCATTCATGCAAGGCAAGCGCTCTACCACTGAGCCACCTTCCCAGCCCCTTGTGTGATTGTTCTGTTGGAGCATCTCTTCTTGTGAGTCACTTAGCTTGTATAGTGATGAGATTGTACTCATATGTGGCTGGGAGTCAACTCTCTAGCTTGCAATTGGCTGAACACATTTCTCCAAGTTTCTCCAAGTCATCCTGGATTTCAATGTATTATTTTAATTCAGTATAAACAAGGAACTGAGAGGGTCCTGGAAATCAAATCCAAGCCGCAAAAGATTTATTACACACTGCCAAGAGCAGACAGGGCAGCAGCAATAGAGGTTGCAGAAGTGAAAGACACATAGCTGTAAAAATGATTAATCTCATTGCAGTGCGTGGAACGGATTGTACTAAATAGAAAATGGGGGTCCAGGGAATTGTTAAAGGCTCGTGGAAAGGAAAGTGTAAGAGACCTGGAGTGGTGGCAACTGAAATGAGCTCACAGACAGGAAGGCTAGAGAATTCCTAAGAGAAGCAGGATGTGTGGGAATGGATTGCATGAGTGATTTAGACACAGAAGATGAAGAAAAATAACGCTTAATGGGTTCTGTCTGTCACATTATTCCAGGTGCTATGCATAGAGTGTATTGTTTAATTCTTATAACAACCTGACAGGTGGCTATAATTACCCTCATTCCTCCAAACCAGAAATTGAGGTTACACAATTTGTACAACATTCTCTATTTTATCTGGGGTGTGAAATTTCATTCATTCATTCATTTATTCATCCATGCATTCTCCCCTCGCCCCTTTCGTTCTGAGTCTGAGTTAAAGATGTATTTCTAAGTCAAGGGGAAGAGAAGCGTGGAACTGGTAAGACTAGGACACGGGAAACATTCAAGCTTCCTTCTCAACTGTTCCCTCTTGGAGTGATTGCTCTGGAGGAAGCCAGCACCCATGTTGGGGAAGGACTGAAGCAGGGCAAGGGACAGGCCCTCAGGTAAGGAGTTGGACAGCAGCCCCAGGGCTACAGAAGGCTGGGGGGGTGGCTGGCTGACATCTAGGGGGTCATCTCATGAAACGCTAAGCCAGAACCAACTCTCCTAAACTCCTCCAGGCTTTCAATTCTCAGGGACTTGGACACAGGTTTGTTTTAAGCCTCTGAGTTTTGAGGTGATTGGCCAATCAAGAATAGATGACAAATATGACCATTAAATGGGATAAGTGCCAACAGGGAAGAAAAGATAGCTCCTTTATGAACTCAAGGCAAAAAAGAATCTAACTGAGCTGAGGAGTCTCTCCTGACTCCATAGTGACTGACGAGAGAAGATGTGATGGGTGAGTAAGAGTTACTGAGGAAAAGTAGGCAGCAGATGAAAGGGATCTAGACAGAGCAAAACGATGGGCGACGTTTGTAGCACCGCCTTGACGTCAGGCTGGTGTGGCTGAGCAGGAAGAAGCTGATGTCTGAAGCTGCAAACAACAGGCAACAGCTTCAGTGTTGTTACCTCAGGAATTTTAGCCTTCATCCGAAAAGCAATGGGACGCTATTAAAGGATTTCAAGCATTTTACAGGTGTGACATATTCTCTGTTAGGATGACATGCCTTTGGAGGTTCCTCTTCAAGTCTCGCTTGAAGTTGCTCTTAGAGTGCATAAAGGGTTCTATAATACATATTTAGATGGATGGTCCGAAGATAAATAGATGGTTCAGTTGGTCTTTTTTTCCTTCAGAGATGCTTCAATTTGAATTCATGGTCCCCCACCTGGTAGGCAGGCTCCCTGCCACTTGAACTATTTTGCCACTTGTTTTGCATTGGATATGATCAAGGTAGGGTTTTATGCCTGGGCTGGCCTGGACTGGTGTGCACTGTGATCCTCCGGTTTGTGTTTCCCAGTGTTGCTGGGTTGACAGGTGTATGCCACCACACCCAACCATGTGCTAGGAATAGGTGAGCATCACCCTGCCTGGCCATTTGCTGGGATGGAGTCTCCGAAATTTTTGTTTCATTTGGGTTTGCTTCATCATGATCCTCTGATCTCTACCTTCTAAGTAGCTAAAAATACACTTGACCCCCTGCTAGTAAAGGTCTTGAACTCTGGGCCTGGGTGCTGTTCCTGAGCTCTTCAGCTCAAGTCTAGCACTCTACCTCTTGAGCCACAGTGCCTCTTCTGGTTTTCTGATGGTTAATTGGAGTTAAGAGGCTCATGGACATTACTGCACAGGCTGGCTTTGAACCTCGATCCTCAGATCTTAGCCTCTTGAGTAGCTAGGATTACAGGTATGAGCCACTGGCATCTGGCAGTAAAGTCTTTAATGGATATATTTTTCCCCTACAGAATAGGTAAAGCCTCAGTAGTATAAAGTAGTCTGGTAGAACAAAAAAGAGA